AATTCTTGACGCTTCGCGTATCCCCACCGGCCCGTCCAGAATTGATTGCCAGCTTTCCCGAGGCCTCTTGGAGGCTATCCTGAGCCATGCTCGGCTAGAGGCTGTCGGAAGCTATTCTGAGCCATGCTCGGCTATGTTGGGCCATATTCAGGTTGTCTTGAGGCCTCTTGGAGATCTGTCGGAGGCTCTATCTTGAGCCATGCTTGGCTATCTTGGGCCATTTTGGAGGCCATCTTGGGCTATCTAGGGCTCTCTTGGAGCCATCTTGGGCCAAAAAGGACGGGGTGGAGATTCTTCAGGAGAGGCTGGGAGGCCTCTCGGGCCCGTCTTGGGCCCCATTGTTCAAAAAGAGCGGGGGTCCTCAGTTCAGGTCCCCCCCTCGGAGGCTCTCAAACGGCGTCTTGGGGACGTGTTGGAGCGCTCTTTGGAAGCCTCTTGGGCGATCTTGGGGCCGTCTTGGGCCTTCTTGGGCCCCTCTTGGGGCTCTCTTGGGCCATCTTGGGGCCATCTTGATGCCTCAGGGGCCCATCGGAAGCGAAAAGACGAGAATGCCAAACACATTGACTTTCCTTAGGCTTTTGAAGGGTTTTGGCTTCTTGGAGGGCGCCGTGGAGGGCTCGAAGGGCACGTGGATCCGTCTTGAGGACTCTTGGAGGTGTGTCGGAGGCTATCTTGACCCATCTTGAGGTATCTTGGGCCATCTTGGAGGCCATCTTGCGACTTGGAGCGCCTCTTGGAGCCATCTTGAGCCATCTTGGACGCTCTAACGCCTCCATCCCCCCCCCCCCCCTCCAGGTCCAGGGGAAGGTTACCCCTCCCCCGAGCAGGGGAAGGAAGGGGAAGAGAGAAGACCAAACTCGTTATACCACCGTAGCCCTAAAGGGCTGGTGGGACTTCCACCTATAGACTTCCAGCCTCCATCAGCTCAGCACTCCGACCTCTAGCGTCCGGCATCCGACTTTCCACCTTCACCTCCACTCCAGCGTCCACCAACTCTGCGCCCTGAGCCCCGCCCCGGGCGCTACCGCGCACTCGCCTCGCCTCGCCTCCGCTCGCACAATTCCCACACACCTCATTGAACAATTGTGTTCTCGCCCGCGCCCAGAAACATCGTAGGAGCAAGGATCAAGATTAGAAGGCGAAGCGCAGCGAGCCTTAAAATCTTGTATATATATGTATATGTATATATATATGTGTATATATATATATATATATATATATACAGTTGTACATCTACATATATGTATAACCATGCCTCTCTCTCTCTCTTTTGTTTTTCTCTCTCTCTCTCTCTCTCTATATATATATATAGACATTGTTGGCCAGAGGCCTCTTGGATGCCAGTTGGGGTCTCTTGGGATGCCATTGGGGGCCTCTTGGGCGTTTTTTGGGAGCCTCTTGGAGGGCTCTTCGGGGCCTCTCGGGCGTTTGTGTGGGCGGCTCTTGTGGGCATGTTTGGGGTCTCGGGGAAGTATTTTTGGAAAGGGCTCTAGAGGCATCTTCGAGTTTCCCCTCTTGGGCCTCTCTTGGGGCCTTCTTGCTTGCCTCTTGGCCTGTCGTGTGGGTTTCTTGGGCCGTCTGCCAGCTTTCTTGGACCGTCTTGGGGATCTCTTGTGAGCCTCTTGGACTGTTTTGAAGCGATCTTGGAGCCCTCTTGGACCGTCATTGGCGGGCGGAAGCTTGAAAAGGCGAGAACGATAAAATCATTCAGAGCCTAATGAGATCTCATGGCTAGTGCCTCGTAGTGTCCTCTTGGGGTCCTCCTTGGACGTCTTGGAAGCCTCTTGGGACGTCTGGAGGCCATTTTGGACGTCTTGGGGACCCTCTCGGAGTATCTTGGGGCCCTTTTGGGACCTTCTTTGCCAGTGTTGGTGCTCTCAGGCCTCTGGAAAAGTCGTGCGGCTGGCCCCAGCACATTGGGGGATCGGGGCCCCTCAAAGTGCACCTAGGGGCACTCCATTGAGTGCCCAGCGGCAGGGTGACATGTATGTACACATCTATATACATGCTTCTGTGTATATACATCTGTGTGAACATGGATGTGTAGTGTACCTATATATATATATATATATATATATATATATATATACAGACGCTCATGCATACATGTATACCAGCAAATGTATAGACGCAGATGCACACACGCACACACGCACACACACACATTTGTTGAGCCTCTGGGAGCCTGCAGAGGGTTCCGGAAGCCTGTGGGGACCTCCCGAGATCTCCGAGGACCTCCAGCTCAGATCGGCGCAGGGGAATGCCGGCGGGGTTCGTGGGAGGAGAGGGGTGCAGAGAATGATTGCAAAGTTCTGCGTTCGCGGGGCCGGGATGTTCCCAATTACTTCTTTCGGATTATGAGCAGCGCGCGCTAGGCAGAAAGGAGCGGGCCCCGCGCGCGCGGCCCGCCCTCCCCTCCAGCCTCCCTCCTCTCGGGGGCATCCCGGGAAGGGCGGGCTCTGGTGAGGGGGAGCAGGAGAAGTGGGGGAGGGGGGAGGCAGGCTCCCTCGCCAGCCTGCTACAGGGGGGTCAGATGTTGGGGGGCCAGGAGAAGGCGAGCTCAACTTCGTGGCTGGGCCTGGTTCGGGGCCACATTCGTCTCCATAAACATGTCCTTCTCCGCTTTTCCTATGCGTCTCCTTCGGAAGCTTGGTTTCCCACCTTCGCTCACTCTGACCCCCCGAAGTCTGACCCCCACTGGGAAGCGAATGGCAAGCCCCGGCCCCCAACGCTTTGAATATACAGACGGATTTTGATGACTCTTTCCTCTCGTGCTGTCATCGTTGCCGTGAATGTGGTTACAGCTGAGGTATGGGGGCGGTCGCATGGCTGGCAGAGCTGTGCGCCAACTGCACAAAAAGGAGCGAGCGGTGATGCTGACTGTTGAGGAAAGTCTGCTGACTGGTGAGGAAAGTCTGGTGAAATTCCATTGTCTGACCGATCGCTTTGCACAATCATATCTGCAGAACTACGATGGAAGTGGTCCATGACCTTGTAGTACGATTGAAAGGTGTGAGGCCAGACTCTCGCAGGGTGGATGCGATACGTCCGATTTACGACCAGCCTCTGCGAGCCCCGTATGAGACCGTGCGCGCGTACATGTGCAAGTCCGTTGTAGCGCGGACTTTTCACCGCGCCTGGGGATACAGCTCTGCTTAACCAGAGCTTGCATGCCGTGGCTCGACTAGCCTTCCCGACCGGCCTTCCTGCTTGGGCAGGCGCCCCGCGTCGGCCACCTCCGCCTTCACAAGGGCAAAGCGACATCTCTGGCCAACGCCGAACGCACCAAGAGCAGCAGCAGGCTCACCAAGCGCCAGGCGGATGCCTGCGAGCGGATTGGCTCCCCCACAGGCTCTGAGGTGACTGTTCGCCATGGCGGGGGGTGCCAAGTGCGCGCCGAAAGTAGGCTTCAGGCCACGGGGGGCGGGGCATCCGAGGGCACTGCGCTTCAGGACGGGCGCGCGCGCTCAGGCGATCCCAGACAGCTGGGTCCTTCCCCACCTTGTCATTCTGCCCGAAGGGTCCTACGCCTGGCGCAGGGCCAGCTCGCCCTCGGTCACCTTGCCGTGGTGACCTGCTGGAAGAAGATGGTGCGAGCATCGGCGATTACGGGGAGGAAGCGAGTGTCCTGCGCCTGTTGCTGTTGCTGTTGCTGTTGCTGTTGCTCCCACTCCCGCTCCCGCTTCCGCCCCCGCCCTCGCTCCCGCTCCCGCTCCCGCTGCTGCCCCTCTTTATCCTCCGTCTACCCCCTGCTCCTTGTCCCTCTCGTCCTCTCTTCTGCCCCCTCTTTCTAGGCAAGCTGCGCGGCGGAGACCACCTGAAGCGTCAGCTTCTAACCCACTCCGCTCCCTCCTGCCCGCCCTCCCCCTCCTGCGCCCTGCGGATGTGCCTTGAGCGAGCTGCGCAGCACCCCTCCCTGGCGGCAGCCTTTGGATCCCCGGGCCACCCGCGGGGGGGCGCGCAGACAGCCGCTCGCCGCGCTCCGCGGCCTGGACCGGGGAGCCGCTCTTCTCCCCGGGGGGGTGGCAGCGCCGGAGCGCGAGAAGTGCGCCGCGCCCCGCGCGGCGCGGCCCAGACACGTCCGATGCCCTCTTCCTCTCCACGCGTGGCCCCCGGAAGTCCCGACCCTGGCCCTGGGGCAGGTCCTTCCTCCCGGGTCGCTTCTTGACGGTCCCGAGTCGGCTACGCGGAGGAGGAGGAGGAGGAGGAGGAGGAGGAGGAGGAGGAGGAGGAGGAGGAGGAGGAGGAGGAGGAGGAGGAGGAGGAGGAGGAGGACTAGGAGTGACCTTTCGCCGGAGTGACCTCTGGTGCGCGCCCATACGGGTCCCCGGCTCCTACTGCCCTGCGCGCTTGGACTTGCCCCCGCGGCCTCCTAAGGCCGCGCACCAGAGGTCCTGCGTGTGGCCGACTGGGGCCTGGCGAGGCGAGGGGGGAGGCCAGAACAAGGGCAAGTCGTCGTCGCCGTCGCCGTCGTCGTCGTCGTCGTCGTCTCCTCCTCCTCCTCCTCCTCCTCCTCCTCCTTTCCTCCTCCCTCCTCCTCCTCCTGCTCCTCCTGCTCCTCCTCCTCCTCCTCGTCCGCCTCCTCCTGCCCTTCCTCCTTCTGAGATCCGACGACGCGAAACATTCCAGCATAGTGAGAAATTTCGCCTCGAACCCTAGACCCCATCGTTCTGTGCCATTTTTCGAGGTGGATCGACCTGCGAGGGTCCCAGGGCCCGAAACTGGGCGAAAACGCCCGGTATGAAAACAAACAACGCCCGGATCTCAGGGCTCCTCCTCCTCCTCCTCCTCCTCCTCCTCCTCCCTCCCCTCCTCCTCCCCCCTCCTCCTCCTCCTCCTCCTCCTCCTCCTCCTCCTCCTCCTCCTCCTCCTCCATTGCTTTCCCTTATAAATAATTCCTCCCTGTCGCCTTGGGGGGTCTGCAGGCGGCGCGAGCCCCCGTGGCTCCGGCGGCCCCGCGGGGCCGGAGGGGGCGGGGCCCCCCGGGGACCGCTCGGGGCATGCTGCCCCGGCTGGCGCCGCGGCGCCTGGCGCCCCGCCCGCGGGCTCTCGCGGCAGCTGCGGCGCCCCTCTCGGCGACTGCCGAGGGGTTGCTGGGATGACCGTGGGGGTTGCTAAGCGGATAGGGGGGGCTCACAAGTGGATGCCGAGGTGGGTTATATCTGGCCCAGCCTGGTTTATGAGTGGAGTACAGATTCCCCGAGTGGCATTGGGGTGGGGTGAAGTAGCCCCGCTAAGTGGGCGGAGCCCACTTCGCCCAGATTGTTACCCCCTAAGCTGTGTGGGGCATGTGTAGCCCACTTGTAAAGCAGGGTGGGCCAGATATAACCTACCTTGGCATCCACTTCTAACCCGCCTCTATCCACTCAGCAACCCCCGCGGCGATCCCAGTACTCTGAGGTCCAGGCGCTGCAATTTTTCGCTCCAGGTGAACTCGCCCGATCTCGGGCCCTGGGACCCTCACATATCGACACGGCTCGAGAAATGGTGCAGAAAGATGGGGATCCGAGGCTCCGTTCGTGAATTTTTTCGCGATGCTGCATCATTTTTTATTGGAACGGCGGATCTCAGGGCACGCCGGGGTGCGGTTTGCGACCGGCGCCGTTGGGGCACCGGGGGGCACCGCGTTGCCCTCGCTGGTCCTCTTCGGGGCGCGGCGGAGAGCTTTGCCCAAACATGCGACGTCCTGATTTTTTCAGGACGGCGTCACCGGAAGTCCCGACCCCGGGACCGGTTTCTCGTCTTGCGCCGTTTTTGGAAGGTCGCGAGGCCCGGCGAGGGCCCCCCGAGGCCGAAAACGGAGAAACACCTGCCGTCCTGCTTCTCTGCGACGCGAGCATGCCTGCTTGTCGAAGTCCTCGCCCGCCCCCCCAGGGTGCGGGTCGCGAACCGCACCCTCTTGCAGAAGCCACACCCTTCGGCGTCGCCGGCCCTCGCGGCGCCCCCCCGCGCCAGCAGGGGGCTCGCCACCCGGCCTTGGAGCCGGCGGGGGGTCTGAGGTGGCCCAGCACTGGTGCTGTCCAGCGAGAGGGGGGGGCGAGGTCCGAGGGTCCTGGGTTCGACAGTTTTTTTTTTTTTTTTGGGGGGGGGGTATGGTTGTAACACATTTTATTCTTAATATCATTATTGTTCGTAGTTTTATTATTAGCCTTGAGATCATCATGATTTTGGTTATTATTCGTATTATTATTATCATTATTATTATTATTATTACTATTATTATTATTATTATTATCATTATTATTATTAATGTTATTACTGTTTTATTAGTATGATCCGTTTTTTATGATTATCATTATAAACATTATCATCCTTATTCTTATTATTAATATTCTTATTGCTATTTTAACATTATTATTTTCATATCTTAGTATCATTACTACTACTGGTATCATTATTGTCATCTTTATTATCATTATTACCATTATCCTCATTTTTGTTATCATTGCCATCTTTTGATTCATATGATGATGATTACTATTCGTACTGTCATTCTTGTTGTTGTTTAATTTTAGTGTGTGTGTATATATACAAGTGGCACGTGTGTGCCCAGGCTCATACAACAAGCTGAAGGGGCGTTTGAAGCAGGAGTGACATGCAACAGCGAAGTCGCACTCGAGCGCAAGTGGGGTTGCCACACCTTGCGATGTGTGTACCAGGGCCCCCCAGGAAGCCTCAGGAGGCCCGACTTGGATACCAGAAGAGGCTCCAGGAGGCCCCAGGATTGTGAGTGTTGTGTGTGTGTGTGTGTGATGTGTGCTTTGTGTGGTGCGTGCTTTTTGCGTGTTGTCGGTGTTGTGTGTGTGTGTGTGTGTGTGTGTGTGTGTATGTTATGTTTGTCTAGCGTGTGATGTGTTGGGCGTGATTTGTGTCTCTGTGTGTGCATGTAGTTCTGAAGCCCCAGGAGGCCCCAGGAGGCCCCAGGCGGCCTCAGCAGGCCCAGGAGAACTCCAGGAGGCTCCGAGGCGGGGTCTGGGGTACCAGAAGGTCCAGAAAGCCCCAGGAGGCCCCAGGAGGTTCCAGGAGGCCCCCAGGAGGCTCCGAGGAGGGGTCTGGGGCTCGATTTTGGGAGGATGTCTCAGGCGAAACCGCCATTCTCTGAGAATCGGAGTCAAAATCATTGAAATTACCATGTGTTTTTGAAGGTTTTATGATAAAATGTTGGAAATCCTATGTGTTTTTGGACCCTGACGTCACGATCTGCGTGAGGGGTGCCACCGATTTTCAGAATTTCGAGGATGTCCCGAGCGAAACGGCCAGAAAAATCGCGAACGACGGACGCATTAATCGCCTCTGAGCTCTACTCCCTCGGAGAGGTGCGTATGAGAATATATATATATATATATATATATAGTTATATATTCTCAGAAACGGATCCAGAGTGAGAAACTGCATCAGATGGACCCCCTGGGGGGGGTCAGGGGTCAGGGGTCAGGGGATGGATTTTGAGCGGACCTGCCCCTATCCCCCGCTTCTTGAGCGCTTTTCTCGAGGTCCATCAGACCCCTGGCCGACTCCGAGCCCCGCCCGCCTTCAAGATTGCGGTCTACCCTGGCGACGGGATCGGCAAGGAGGTCGCCGCGCGGCGCGGGGGGCCCCGGACAGACGCGGTGACCACGCTCAGACATGCTCGCGTCGCGAAAAATCACGACGGAAGGTTCTCAGCCGTCTTCAGCTTCTGGGGGCCCTCGCGCGAGGCCCCGGGGCCGCAGCGCAAGAAAGGATTTGGGGCGATAGGCCCTTCCGGGGGAAGGGTCTGCTGGCCTTCTGGGGGCCCTGCATCGGAAACGCAAGACATCGGGTGTCTGCGGGCACCGTGTGGTGATGCCGCACGGTTTTGGGACTCGGGCCGTTCTCCGAGGGTGCCTGGGGCGACTGGGGCCTCCGAGGTCCCGAGACGGGTGTTGGTGACGGGCCGGGCGGTAAGGTCCTTTGGGGGCTCCGATGTCGCCGCACGGTCTGTCTCCGCACCGCTTCGGGGCTCCCGGGCAGAGGGGCGCGGGGTTGCGAGAGGGATGTGGCGCTCCTAGCAGGGCCGTGTGCCTCGCAGACGGAGCCCCTCCCGCGCTCGGCTGGGCCGTCCTGAGAGCCTCCGACGCCTGCCAGGAGCCTCCCCCCTGCCTGCTGCGAGGGCCGCCCCCCTCGCGCGCCCCACCCTCTCGTGCGCGCCGACCGCAGGTCACGGCGGTGACCTTCCGGCTGCTGGACCAGCTGCAGAGGCGGCACGGCTTTGCGCTGGACTGCACCTGGTACGACTGGGGCTGCGACTATTACGACAAGCACGGAAAGGTCGTGCCAGACGACTTCCTGGACGTGCTGCGGCCCTACGACGCCATCTTCCTGGGGGCCGTGGGCTTCCCATCGCGCGTGCCAGACAACGAGACGCTGCAGCCCCTCATCGATATGCGCCAGGGCTTCGACCAGTATGTCTGCCTACGGCCCGCCAGAACGTTCCCTGGCGTGAGAACTCCGCTGGCCGCTCAGCCCGAGCTGGACCTTTTTGTCATCAGGGAGAACAGCGAGGGGGAGTACGTGTCCAGCGGGGGCCGGTTCAAGCGCGGCACCCCGGACGAGGTAGCGACCCAGACCGCCGTGCATACGCGCAAGGGCGTGGAGCGCATCGCGGGGCAGTCAATGTCACAGAGACGGTGAGATTGCCCCCCTGCGTTGGGAGGGGGGAGATGAAGACGAGAAGGATTAGGAAGACGAGGTTGTAGAGGAGGAGGAGGAGAAGGAGGCAGAGATAGCAGGACACGACGACGATAAGGACGATAAGGATGATTATTCTGCTGCTGATGCTGACAATGACGATGCCGAAGACGGTGACGACGACGACGACGACGACGACGACCTTGACGACGACGACGACGACGACCACGACGGCGACGACGACGTCGAAGACGACCACGACTTCGACGACGACGATGACGATGGCGATGACGATGCCGATGACGATGATGATGATGATGATGATGATGATGATGATGATGATGATGATGATGATGATGATGATGATGATGATGATGATGGTGGTTGTGGTGGTGGTGATGATAATGATGATGCTGATGATGCTGATGATGCTGATGATGAGGAGGAGGAGGATGAGGATGATGATGAGTTCTCATTTCTCAGGAATAATTATTGTTGATCTCCCCTGCCCTGTGCACATTGTGTAGTTTTTCCAGTTGAAATGCCCCTGCCGGGGCTCGCACCCTGTTGTTGATCCGGGAAGGTCTTGAGCCTCAAATTGCGCTCCTGGCCCCCGAGTTACAACAACAACGACTCCTGCCTGACTCTTCATCACAATTCCTTGAAGAATCGCGCTTTCGCGCGGGACGTCCTCACATTGTATGTAGGAATCTCGCTCTCGCGTGGGACGTCCTCGCAATTTATTCAGACGATGCGCCCTCGGCTCTCGGGAATCACGCTTTCGCTTTGGCCTTTCTCACGGCTCGCTCGAGATTTCCTTGCGATTCATGCAGGACCCACTCTTCAGCAACCCGCCTGCTCGACCTGGTTGCCTGGTCTTGCCTTCCCGATCCGCCCGCTATGGGTCCGCCCACCCGATCTGCCCGTCTGGTTCTACTACGGGTTTTCTGCTCCTTGCCCGCATCCTGCTAATTTCTCTCGTGCTCCATCCTTTTCCCTCCCCCTTCCACCCGTTCTGTCTTCCCCTGTTTTAGGGGCTGCGCTACATGCACGTGGCAGGTAAGGAAGGTGTACCCCCAAGGGGGTACGATCGAAGACGAAGAGGGCGGGTACTGAGGGTTCGGGATATACGTATTGGATGGCACGTGAGGAGATATGAGCGAAGAGTCTTAACATTATGGTTGTTGTTGTTGTTGTTGTTGTTGTTGTTGTTGTTGTTGTTGGCGTCGTCATCGTCTTTGTTGTTGCTGCTGCTGTTGCGGTTACGGTTGCTGCAGCTGTAAGTCTAAGTGTAAGTGTACGTGCAAGTGTAATTGTGATTGCACGTGTACATGTATGTGTCTGTGTGATTGTACTTGTAATTGCCGTAGTTGTTTTTTGTTTGCTGTTGGTGTTGGTGTTGCTGTTGTTGCTGCTGTTGTTCCTTCTGTTGTTAACGAACGACTTTTCATGTTTCAAGACTAAGCATTGTTGATCCCACCTGTCCGGTAACCGCTGCATTTTTTAATTCATGTGCTTCTCCCATGGCTCGCACCCAGTTTTTTTACAAGGGAAGCGAGGTGTCACCACACTGGGTTGCTGGACCCCTGTTTACAACAACAACGGTTCCCGCCTGACTCTTCCTCACAATTTATCGAAGAATCGCGCTTTCGCGCGGGACGTCCTCGCATTTTGAACAGGAATCGCGGTCTCGCGTGGGAATTCCTCGCAATTTATTCAGACGCCGCGCCCTCGACACTCAGGAATCACGCTCTCGCTGTGGATTACCAAACGATTTATTTGGGAATCGCGCTGTCGCTCGAGACATCAGCGCGATTCACGCAGTAATCACGCTTCAGCAACCCGCCTGCTCGGCCTGGCCGCTTGGGCCCGCCTTCCCGACCCGCCCGTTTGGGTCTAACCGCCCAATCTGCTCGTTTGGTTATGGCATATTTTCTGCTCCTAGCCCCCCTCCTGCTACTCTCTCTCTCTCTCTCGTGCTCTATCCTCCTCCCTCCCCTTGTCTCGTGCTACTCTCTCTCTCTCTCGTGCTCTATCCTCCTCCCTCTCCTTGTCTCGTGCTCTATCCTCCTCCCTCCTGCTACTCTCTCTCTCTCTCTCGTGCTCTATCCTCCTCCCTCCCCTTGTCCTTTGCTTCCGTCCGTCCTCTCTGCCCCTGCCCCAGGGGCTGCGCGAAGTACACGTTGCAGGTAAGACAGATGTATACCCCCAAGGGGTACGATCGAAGACGAAGAGAGCGGATATCGAGGGTTTGGGATATCATGCTATAATTTCGTCTTGAATGGCCTGCAAGCAGATAAGAGCGAACAGTCTTAAACTAATCGTTGTTGCTGCTGCTGCAGAAGTTGCTGCTCTTGTTGCTGTTGTTGACGAAGCTGCTGCTGATGATGGTAATGATGATTGTTCTGATGCGGATGATGCTGCAGCTGTGGATCATGATCATGATGATGCTGATGCTGATAATGATGATGATTATGATGATGAGGATGATGATGAGTCCGATCTTGAGGTTGTGGATGGTGGTGTTGTCGTTGATGGCGATGCAACTGATGATGATTCTGATAAGGATGCTGGTCAGGAGGATAATGATGGGTTGTGGTGATGCTAATACCGATTATGCTGGTTCTGATGACACTGAGGGTCGAAGACATATTGTGGTGACGATGATCGGGGATTCTTGTTTGTGGTCAAGACGATGATGACATGTGGTGGTGGTGGTGATGATGGGAGGAAATGGATGAGGAAAGGTTGGGAGGGATAAGGAGGAGGAGGAGTTTGAGGAGGAGGGCGTTGGGAGGAGACGGATCACATCTCATTCTTGCACTGGCGGCTTTGCTACCCCGGGCATCCTGCGCTTCGCGCTCCAGAGCGCACGCGAGCGGCCACGGAAGAGGCTCTGCATGGCCACGAAGTCGAACGCCCAGAAGTACAGCATGGTCATGTGGGACGACATACTCGACGAGCTCCGTGGGGCCCCCTGGCCCCTCCGCGGGGGCAGTGGGCCAGGACGCGGCACCGGGCAGGCCCTGGCCTGGCCAGGCAACAGGAGCTGGGCGGGGCCAGGACAAGAACACATCCGTTCCACAGCGTTCTGGAGCGCTCTCGGAGCGTTCTGGAACGCTCCGAGAAGGCCACGGTGCCGGATACCTCCTTCAGAACCGCTGGGTCTCAGAGATCCCCGACGTGTCCCTGTCCGATTTTACATCCTTGGCCTGGCTTCGTCCTGGCTTTGTCTTATGAGAGGCCAGCCAGGACGGCGCTAGGCTGGTGCACGTTTCAAATCGCCCGCAGGGTGGCGCGAGGAGGAGGAGGAGGAGGAGGAGGAGGAGGAGGAGGAGGAGGAGGAGGAGGAGGAGGAGGAGGAGGAGGAGGGGGACCTTTTGGACCTTTTGCGCAGCACAGCGTGCAGAGAAAGGAAAAAAGAGGAAAAGAGGGTGAGGGCCTCAGCGGTCGGGCGAAGGAGCCGAACGCTCCGACCTGCTGGCAGCCCCTGCTGTAACCACCGCTCTCTCTCGCTCAAAAGTCACCGCCTGGACCGTCTTGGGAGGCCCCGCGTAACTCGGGAACTTGCCTTGTGCAATCCGGGCGAGATTCTCACGCCCCTTCTTGCTTGGGGGCAAGCATTCGCCTGCAAGTTGGCGGCCGTCGATCGTGGCAGTCTTGCCACAGGCGTGGCAGAAATACATGCAGAAACGATCCCAGTAGCCAAGACGATGGGACCGATGCAGAGTCAAACCTCCGACCGAAACAGGGCCAGGGACCGAAGACACGACATCGAGCGGCCAGGAAACCGACGAACCAGAGCACGGCGACGAGCAAGCATCCACGAGCTGGGATCGAGTCGTGAGTTGGCCGCACTGGGAGCACCTCCAACGGGCTCCACAACGTGCAAAAGCGTGATCGCTGGCACGAGCAGCACGCTCCTCCTTGGATCCCAAACAGGCCCTCTCCAAGGTCCCCGAATCCTCTTTGGGCTTCTTGGGATCTGCGGCGGCTGCGTCCGCGAGGGCTCGGCGGGCCCTCCTCCGGACGAGAGCGGCGGTGGTGTCCCACTGATCCGTGGGTGGGACAGCAGAGGCCGAAAGAGACCAATTCCTGTCGGCCGCCTCTCCCGCGGCCGTATCGGCAGCCTGGTTGCCGAGAGCGAGGAAACGCTCGCGATCCGTCAGCCCTGGGCTCTCGGGGTCAGTGTGCGAGGGAGTCCATTCCAAGGTGACCTCCCCCTCCCCCCGGGCAGCCAAGGCCGAACGGATCCTCATCCAAATGTCCCCGTTCCGCCCGTCACACACCCGAGCTCGCCCCCGCTCCCACCCCATTAATAGAGGCTTGTGGTCAGTAATAAAATGCAGAGGGCCTGAGAGATTCTCCAAGGCAAGGGCGAAAGCGATAAGTTCAGCACTGGGCACTGTCTGCCCCTGGCCTGGCACGGTGGACGAAATGCCCCCAACCAGCTCCCAATCGGAACTGTGAGGACCCACTCTGCCTAAGACAACGGCAGCGGACCCACACCGCCGGCGACGAGGATCAGAGGAAAAACGCCCTCTGGACCCGTCCCCCAAAACGACGGTGGGAGCACCATCGGTGGACCTGCACTCCGAAAGTGGGCGCCCGCCAGCTTGGATCACACTCTCCTGAACCGAGGGCTCCACAAAGCTGGGATGAGTGTGGTCCCGCGGCGGAACGCCTCTGAGCCACAGCGCAGGGTTTGCATCCGACCCCGCGAGGGCTTGCGGAACAAGACAATCGCTCTCAGTGTAATCATCGTGGTCGGCGTTTTTTGGGCACGTCCAGATCCTGTGAAAAAGGGTCTCTGGCGCCAGGCCGCACCGAGGGCACATCCGCTGGTCCGCCGTACCCAAAGGAAACTTCCGACACCTGGGCCACTGAGCTCCCGAGACTACACTCAACGTGAGGCCGTATTCGCTGTACAAGCCCTGCCGACTGAACCTTGCGAGTTCGCGCCGAATGCAAAATAAATCGCCGCCCTCAGAAAGATCGGCCCCAGCCTTTGGAGTGCCCCCCCCACCGGAAATTGAAGATCCCCACAGTGACTTCGGGTTGGGTTGGGGTAGTTTGGTAGGTAGTGATGGCCTGGCCAGAGTTCGCTTGTTCGGTAACCAATCAGGGGAGCCTTGTATACCTTCGCAATTCCGTCTTTGGAGTGCTCTCGCGTCGGTTAGCGTATGGTGGTCGATGAGATAGCGCCGACTCAGCGCCGATGAGCGTCGATTATCGTCGATTCAGTGTCGATTCGCAAGGGCCAACGAGATGGTATGGGAGGCTCCCGTGGCCGAAGAGTCCACCTGATTCGGCATCACTCGGCGCGTACTCACTACGTGCGCTTCGCGTCCCAGGCGGCGACGCGCGCGCTCAGAAGTCTTACAGTACATGCTCCGTGGCGGGCGCTGTCTGGCCGTCCTGCCAGGGTGGCGAGTCTTGCCCTCCGCATCGGCCCGCGGCCCCTCTCGGAGAGGGGCGGGGGCCCCCACGGGACGAGCTGCGCCCAGAGTTCGCCGACGTGGCCGTGACCCGGGAGCACATCGACGCGCTGGCGATGAAGCTCGTGCTCGCTCCCCAGGATCGAGGAAACGCAAAAGGATGAGGAAAAGGAGGAGGAGGCGGAGGAGGAGGAGGAGGAGGAGGAGGAGGAGGAATGAGAATAGTAAGAATACTAAGAATCGTACTAATGCAGTGAAAATAGTAGGAGTAATAATGGCACGAAGCATAATGATATACTTATGATACTGAGAAGAAGACTCGACAGAGGAACATCGTACGAACAGTAATCATGATAATACTTGTAATCTTGTGAAGAAGACGAGAATACGACTAAGAAACATGTGGCTACTAATACGAAGCAAACCAATACCACATCGAATGTTATCAAGACGAACACCAATAACATTAATTATACGAATAAAACGGTTCTTAAATTTAAACGGTGAATGACACGACTGATAATACTAACAACCAGCGAATGATACGAATACACATCAGCCGCATCATACGAGTACGCATCATACGAATACGCATCATACTAACATCGATCATGATACACAATCATACCAACATT